CTCTTCCACAGCACTTCCAGAACCATTAATTCTGCTGTGCTGGGAAGAGGCAATCAGCACACGGTACAGAATAACTCACAGGGGGAAAAATCAACTACTGCCTTCGGGAAGAGTGGAAACTCTCTCCCCAGAGAGGTGAAACAAGCCCAGGCCATACCGTGACATGCAGAGTGACAAACACAGACTGTGAAATGTCACAACAGTGACAAAGCCCAGGAAGAAGCCACACATACTGCTCCTTTTACTGAAATTCCATGTAAAAGACACCTCAGAAGTGGAAGATGAGRAGCTGCTTCCAAGGCACAGAGCTTTGCTGATGCTGTGTCCCTGAATCCCGTGAGCAGCACAGACTGAAGTGTCAGCTCCCTGGAGCCAGTGCTGTCTCTCAGAAGGCACAGGGACATCAATCTCCACTCCTCCCAAGCTTTGAGCACACGGCTCCTGCCAGGAGTCCACACAAACACCAGCTTTCCACAGTCCCATGAGACAGAGGAACACCCAGCCCAAGCCTCCTAAGCCCCAGGAAAGGGAAGAGCACCTCAGCTGAAATGAAGTGATGTTGGACACATTCTAATCCTCCTGGCACTGCAGCAGCCACTGCACATACCAACAAGGCTTAGTGAGAATTAAACACTAAACATCCATTAAACATGGATCCATGAGGCACAAATATCCCAAATGAAAGGAAAAAGTGGAAAGGCAGAAGGAATTGGCTTTACTCAGTCACATAACTGAGCTCCTCTGTGGCTTCAGGAGCTGCTGCTGGGGCAGTCTGCACAGCACAACAAGAACATGGCACAAACTCCACCTGAGGCTGACAGGACTGAGAGTGAGAGGCAAACTGGGATTCCCACAGCTGGAACAGCTTGCATRCTGTGGCTCCAATCAGATCTTACTCCTTCTGCACAGGCTGCARAATTCAGTCATTTCTACACACAGAAACACTCAGAGGCTCCAGGGCTAAGGACCCTGTCGGACCAAAGGGGACTCAGGCAAACCATTACTGCTCCAAGCTTCCTGTTTCTATGAAGTTCAACTGTTTGCTTTAATTTAGCTGTATTCACAGTGAGGTTTGAGTCCCTTTATGGAGTTAAGCAGCACCTTTAAGGATTAAAAGACATTATCACTATATCCTAGCAATTACAAGCGAATCTAACTTACTGAGATAAGCAATTTAGTATCACCTTTCTAAGCAAGTTTAAAAAAAATTAACTTTMTACCCTATTTTTTTCCTTAAGGTTGTTTTTTGTGTGACTGCAGTTCAGCTAAGAGTCTTTAAATAGTACCTCTCCAATACACTGTGTAAAACTAACTCAGGGGGAATGAATCATGTATACATCAAATGACCCTAGTATTTAAAATTTAGCTGTCTCCCACAGCTACTTTATTTCCCTTCTATATAATCCAAATAGTAAATAATGTCTCTGCAGAGCARTAAGTGCTTAAGATTTTTTAAAAAGTATATACTGTACAATACTAACATCATCTTTGGTCCCAAAAATAAGGAAATTACAAATTTACATTTACTTTTGTCTTACGAAGTGAATCAGATAGCGATTTTAAAATTACTGTTCTCTTTAGGATTCTACGCTGAGAGCTGTGCTAAGCTCAGGGCACGTAAGTTCTAAGTAGTGGCATTCTCAGCTGAAGACAACTTATCCCACATGCCTCTGTCACTGCAGCTGGGTCCTCACTCCAGGAGCTCTCCTTTTCTAGGCAAGGGAAGGTGCAGGGKTTTGAAAGGTACCCAATTTACAAACCTAGAGAGGTACAAGAGCTCCCAGAGCTCTGCCACAACCACGATGAGCTCAGGGAGCACAGGAGTGTCCAGGAATGCCCCTTCATCCCTGGGTACCAGCCAGCAACAGGACACACTCCTGACAAAACCCCTTGTGGCATCACCCAGCTCCTGCTCCCTGACTGCACATGGCAGCCCCACTCTAAAAGCAGGGATCTTCTGGACAGCTCTATTCTGTATTTCAGTAGGTGGGTTCGGCTGGATTTTGGTTTTGGTGTGGGATGTTTGGGGTTTTTTTGGTTTTGTTTGGGTTTGGTTGGGTTTTTTTTTCCAATCTTTACACAAACTGCTTTGATGGCAGTTCACAATTCCAGACTGGGTATCCTGTGCTTCTTCTATTTTAAGGACTGACATTGCCAACTCTGCCAGTCCTGGGCAGTGCTGGCAAACAGCAGGGCTGTCCCAGCTCTTCTGGCAAGAACAAATGGTTATTCCTTACCACACTGGCCATGGAACTGTCATTCTCTGCTCAGGGGATACACCCAGGTGAGACAATGCTTGATGAAATGGCTCTGTTCTAACCCAACACTACAAGCTGGTTCAATCTTCTTTTAAACTGGTGCTCCCTTTGGCATCACATCCARTCAAGCACAATAAAATAATACTATAGGAACTGCTAAACCATCACTCACTAGGAAAATGCCAATTTTCCTTAACCTCATCAGTAACTTGAAATTTTAATCTCCATCTTAGCCACTAAGATGAAATGCACTGTAKATGTCATTACATTGAAAATGGAAAGGCATCACTTTTCTCACGATGTTTTAATGCAAAACATAACTCTCTGCTGCTCAATTTGAACATTGCAGCATTAGGTTCACACTTTCACTATCCCAGTTCCTTCCAGTATGAAAAATGCCCAAGCAATTCTGATCTCCTGTTAGCTGTGACCTGGTTTTTATGGTTAAAATCACTTCTCCACAAGACACTGCCAGCTGTTCTCAAGGCTCCAGGTACTGCACTGCCCCTGAGGAATGCAGCTCCACCAGGACACACAAACTCAGGCATACAAGGCAAACAGTTCCACTGATTCCACAGATTTTCATTTTCCTCACACCAGAAAGRAGTTCAGTTCTAGAGATCTTCTCCCACACACGCTGTCTTAACACAGGCACACAAATGCCAAATAATGAATTACAGAGGTAAAAAACACCAAAGAAACAGAAAAGTATCAAGAGACATCTTCCTAATAATAYTATGACATTGTCTAGCCAATTACTGCTGAATTTGAGTTCTGCATAGAGAAAACATCATTCATTCACTGGAAGTACAAGAAAAATTTWAAAAACTTCAGTAAGTGAAACTATTTCTAAACAAATCAATACAATCATATTGTCTTCCAATTAGCTAAATTCATTTGCCAAAGAAACATTGGGGGAAAAGATCTGCAGAAACACCCAGTTAAAATAAAAATCAGATTTACCTACTACCAGTGGGTTTAATTTCAGAACAACAATCCTTCCAAAAAGAAATATTTACGTTACATGAATCACAACATTGCAATCTTAGGAACACTTTAAAAGCACATAATTTTTTGCTGGTTCTTGCTTACCCTCAGCTTGGGGAGAAAGCAAGTTCTAGCAACAACTTCTAGAAATGTTGACCCTTCAAAAAAAAAAAAAGAAAAACAAAACAAAACAAACAAAAAAAAAAAAAAAAAAAACCAACAAAAATAAAACAACCGAAAAATAAAGCCATGGCTGGAATGTAAGTCTGTAGGATGACAACCCCTTCATTCTCTACTGTACCCCTCAAACCCCCTTTCTCCACCCTGTCTCCTAAACATTTTTATTTTCCCACTTTGGAATGACAAAATGGAGTATGCCCCAACACGAGCAGACAGCCACCTAYTCACACTCAGTGCATCCCTGTGGCCACCAGTGACCACCCCAGCCTCTTCCCAGTTCAGAACTGGACATGTGGCCCTTTCCCAGCTCGCTGCATCCATGAGAACACGTGGAATGGTTATGCAGGCAGCCAGGCAGGTGTGCTAGAGGCTGCAGGGCAGAACGGAG